GTGGATCGGAGAAGATGACCAGAGTTTGACTCCGGCGTCTCTTACTTTGTTGACTCGGGCAAGGGTACGCGTGGCCTCGAGCCACATTCTGATTGGACCATTTAAATAATAGGGGCCCCAGTACAACGCGCATGTTTACACCTCAACATTTTATTTTATTTTGCATTATATTGTTATGGTTTGAATTATATTCCCAGATGTAAAGTTGTTCCAACGATTAGGTGTGTGTGTGTGTGTGTGTGTTAAAGTGTTGCATGTGTGCAAGGGCAGGGGTTCAATCCCTGCCTCTTGCATATTATTTTTCCATTTATTCTATGCAGATCTGATGCATCCAGGCTATACACGTGCACCATACGCCATCAAATCTACACCATCAAAGGTCAACGCAACCAAATCTAAGCGCCTCAAATGTGCACCCCCATCGTGAACCTTCAAAGAATCCCCTCACCAGATCCAATACAATTTTTGGGCTGCCTCATACATGGGCCTCACATTTTCGAGATTGCACCCCCCATTACTGTTTCTACCAGGCCCATTTTACCTTTTTCTTGTTTTCTTTTAATTTTTTCTTCTTTTAATTCTTTTTTTAAATTATAAACAAATATAAAAATTACAAAAAATAGATCTAGGATTTTCTTAATTAAAATTAATTATCTTGATTTATTTGTTAATTTAAAATGAAGTAGGTTTAAGATTTAATTTTATTTCATTTTCTTTTTCTTAATAAAAAAATGCAAAAATATAGATTTAATTTTCTTTTTTTAATTTTAAATAATTAATCTTTTTTTAAGCTAATTAATTAATCTTACTTAAACTATTTTCTTAAAATAAACAAAACAACAAAAAGAATTTTCTTTTACTTAGAACTTTTTAGGGTTTTAAACGTCCTTTCTAATTCGCGCGCGCTTAGTATTTTCGCATTATCATTTTCAAATTATTGTATCTGACTATGAGTTGTAATAGTTAAAATTAGGATTTTATTTACTGCTTTTTATTTTTCCAGATTTTGGATTTGTAAATTTCCCCTCCCCAAAGCCCTGTAATAGTTAGGTTTAATTTTCCGTACTTTAATTCCCCGCACTAATATCTGAAATGTTTAGATGTATGTTAATGGGATAGAATGACAAGAAATTAAAAAACAAAACGTTAGCAAACCTAACGCAGAGATTAATAACTGAAACACAACGCACTCGCATATGCGCACCTCTAGGATACCCCCACTTCGATTGCCTTCGGAATAAAACAGTCACAACTCTCGAAACGTGAGAGATTTTAGTGGATACCCTCCGGTTTAAAGATCACAAAAATGACCCTCTCAATGTTGCCTCGATATGATCTTAAAATCTTAGGGTAGTTACTAAAGCATATTTCCCAGTTTCCTTTATGACTATACGATGCTCCTTCGATTGTCCATCAAACATCCAACGATAGGGCTACCTACTCACTAATAGTAGGATAACACTATCTAAAGGAAAAGAGAAAAAGAACAAACCCTTTCGAGTAGGTAGATAGTCCTTAGATGCTTTCTCAAATAAAAAAAAATTCCACACATACACTCCTTTCCAAAAATATTTTCAAAGACGCTTTGTATACATTCTCCATGACACGAGAAACATTACAAATTTCGTCGCACTAAGACGTCTTTTCAAGATGATTTTTCAAACACACAAACACAAGATATTTTCAAATGAGCTAGCATCTAAGAGCCAGTAGATAATTACGGATGGAAAGAGTGATAACACCTTCCCTTTCTATAATCTACCGTCCTTACTCATAAACAATCTCGAAAGGTATTTTTCTGTTCTTTTCACCCTTTCCTTTGTTGGATAAAAGAAAAGTCGGTGGCGACTCTTGCTTACCACAATATTTGATAATAAAAAACATAAAACTAGTATAACATTCGGTTATGCCACCGTACTACAGATACAATCAAAGTGCAAGTACGAAAGTGAGTAAGAGAAATGAATACATGACCCTCTCGAGTGAGAGGGTATTTATAACCTCCAGCGGTGGGCCAAGGTTCCCATGTTAAACTGATTGAGCAGGCTCAAAATGGAGATTGTCAAGACCTACGTGTGTAGTAGAGACCAATATGTGGTTTTTATCCTAGATAAACTACTCTGAACTATCAGGGAGGCGTGGACGCTATCTTTTCGGAGTCAAGAAGACTCTGTGACATTCAGAGACATTGGGTGCGTGTCCTACGAGGAGGGCACGTCATGGTGACCACCTGGGTGTCTCTGGCTTTCCTCGACAGTCAAGTGGCGAGGATGTCCTCGAAGGACACGTGGAGGATAGATCCTCAGCGTGAGAGAAGGAGATTCTGCCCGACGTAGGTCAAAGGACAGACTCATTCTTGCCGGGCTTCCCCTACAACATAGTTGGATTTAGCCTTGTATGATGTTTAGGCTGAGTGCGGACTCAGTCCAGAAAAGGACTATTTTCCCACTTACTCACAATTGCATTATTATTCTAATATTTTCTCTCAAGTGTGAGTCCACAATACTCCCTATCCCCCTCAGGTGTGGTACGAAGTTGAGGATTATGCACTTTTGTGAAAGACACATCACTTGTCCACCTAAAATCTTAAGGTGATAGGTGGGTGGGTTCTCCCAATTATATATTCTCAAGTCACCATATTCCTATCCAATGTGGGACTATTTCCCCACTTACTCACACTTGCATTATTATTCTAAGTGGGTTCTCTCACTTATTACTTGAGAATATATATAAGTGGGAGAACCCATTCACCTTTCACCTTAAGGTTTTAGGTGGACAAGTGGTATGTCTTCCACAAATGTGCATAATCCTCAAATTTGTATTAATGCTCCTAATAACTCCTCCCAACAAATAGTATCATGAGCCTTTGGTTCGAAAAAGGGACCGATTTAATATCGAAATGCCCAAGAAAGAGTATTCTGTTGCAATGTGTCAATGACGATACAAGTGGAGGAGCATTGTGGACTCTCACTTGAGGGAGGGTATTAGAATAATAATATAAGTATGGGTAAGTGGGGAAATAGTCTCATATTAGATAGGAATACGGTGACTTGAGAATATATATATATATATATATATATATATATATATATATATATATATATATATATATATATATATATATATATATATATATATATATATATATATATATATATATATGGGATAACCCACTCACCTATCACCTTAAGATTTTAAGTGAACAAGTGGTGTGTTTCTTACAAAGGTGCATAATCCTCAATTTTGTATCAATGTTCCTGATAACTCTTCTTACATATTCTAACAATATGGTCGACTTGCTTTGTTTATATGTTTGATTTGCTTTTGGTTCCATTATAAATGGTCTTTACAAAGCAATTGCATTTCAAATGACGTTTATCATTTGCTTTTGGATCGGTTGCTTACAAATGCATTTAAAATGATCTCTACATCTTTTATAGACTTTATTTCTTTTACTTATGTTGTTTTTCCCACTATGTTATATGTCTTCTTTGACAAAAACCATTGCTTTGAACTTGGTTTGAAACATAACACATGCATTGTTCTTAGACTATTGTTGTCTGCTTAGGCTCTAGACTATATTTACTACATACTTATTGGAAATATTGATTTTTTAGTATGTATTGGAAATATTGATTTTTTAGATATGAAATAGAAATTGAAGTTCAACACGATGATCATATTTGCACCTTCATACTTTGTGACAAAGATTGTATCTCAATTGTTGGCATGACAGCTTCCAAGTTGAGAGTTATCATGAAAGAAGTAAGTTAATTATATTCTATCAAAATCAATAACACCAGAAGCAATACAAGCATTTAACACTAAAGGGTATGTAAATTGATCAGTTTCATCTTTTCATCATTTGGGAGAACACAATTTTTCCAACTTTTGGCTCATGTACAATTAGTTGTAACAAATGAAACCATGTCTTACGTGGGACTTGTTTACTATGTTTTCCTTGCTAGATTAGACATGAAATTGGAAATGATTACAGGTGCGAGAAAGCAAGCTGCAACAATCGTTAACTTTTTTTTTTTTGTCCTCCATTTCAATTTGTTGACATAGCCAACATTGTCGTTCAACATGTTTTGCTAGTAATAAAGGGCTTAGAAAATTGTTTGCCAAGGCTCTTCCTCCTATATGACTTCCATAAACAACTTGGCACAACTCCATTAACACTTTTGCCAAAGAATCTCAACATTGGCATGGCCTTTCTCATCTTATATAATTTACGTGCAACCAAAGAGTAGTTTGCCTAGTTTGCCTTTAACTTTCTTATCTTCTCCGCTTCCTCTTTGTTTGGTGGTAGTTGCTCATTCATCGGGTATGCACTAGGATCATCTCCAGTCCTTGGCATCTAAGATGTAAATGGCATTGACATACTTTCTGTGGTAGGAGCGGGCAATGTTTCTTGTATACCCTTGTTGTGACTCATTTCTAGGTGATGGCAACAACAGGTCGGCTCTAGAGTTCTCTTCCATAGGCATGTATGTAACTTTAAAGAAATTGAAGTGTTTTGCCAATTCTTGAACCTTCTACAAATACCTAAGAAGTTGCATTCCTTTCTTTTGGTAATTGACTGCGACTTGACTGATAACAAGTTGATAATCATCTTTTAGTAACAACGGTTGTAATTTTGATTTTGTTTACCTTTCATTATTAATAAAACTTAATCTCAATGACAGATTGGCCTATTGCCTATTTAAATGTAAGCTGAATTATTTAAAAAAATTATTACAAAATAAATTGTTAAATTTTTCAAGCCTGATCTTACAATAAAAGAAAAGACTCGTCTGATACTTCATAGAAGCACCATAGACTAAAAGGACACAGTAAGTCTTTGGAAGTTTATAATTTCAAAATTTCCCAGCAATTATAACTACAAAGCATAGTTTCAAAAGTCCCTGATAAATCATACAAAATGCCTATCCTATATAAAAATATTATGAATTATGAATATACACTCAGTTTAACATTGATCTTATATTCTGCCAACTTCATTTGCCTCTCCGGCGATTTCTTGTTGCTGCACAACTTGAACAGAACCATTTTCCTTTTGGTTGTTCTTTCAGACCAACACAACCAAAATGAAACCACTCTATTTTGCACTGTAGTTAATAGATAACATCAAAATATGTACGGAATATAGGTAAAATGAATATAACTAGACGAGTATAAGAAAAGAAAAAGTAAAAACATACATCAGGGTTATCACAGGCAACCATTTCTCCATAGCTAACTTGGTTGCAAAAGCAATATGTAGGTTCATTCGGATCAACTGGTAAATCTAAATCCATGCCAGTAGGATTTGCAGATGTAGCTAGCTCTGCTGCTGCTGCAGTTGCTGCTGCTATTGCGGTTTGGACAGATGCTGTTGGTCGTGTTCTGAAGCAGTTTCAAATTCAGATAAAATGTAACACTTAAATTTTACATAGTTAGAAAATTATAAGGAAAGATCACATTTTATAAGCTTACTTATTTAATTTACGGATGATATCAATGTTATTACACAACTAAGGTGTAATCAGCAACCATTATCAAGGTATTTGCATGGTTCGATTAAATAGAATTTCTGATATCTGATGAAGATAAGATGCAAACATTCCAAGTAGTATTTGAGGATGTAATTTACATATCCTCAATAAAATTGGAATAATTCAAGGCTTCAGACAAACACAGATCACTAGGATTGATGTGATTGTAAGATATTCACAACAATGTACAACAAAGCAATATGCAGTTATGTCAAATATCAAACAACTGTAGACTGTATTGTGATGCCATTGTCAAATCAGTGATAAAACATCTTCAAACTCAAATAATGCACATTTTTCTCAAGACCCATAGTAACCTGAAGAAGCATTAACTGATGATAGGCCCGTTAATAGGGCCATCTTAGGAGGAAAGGAAAAAGAACCCAGGTGCTGTCTAGTAAAGAAAACGTGAGAGGGAACATACATACCATTATAGACACATGGCCCAAGGAAAGCCGGGGAAAGGAGAATGATTTAAGGAGAGAGCATAGCTGCAAGGGGAGCAAAAAAATACCAAGTTCTTGATGGAAGGTTGGAGATGAGAAGAAGAGCTATTATCTCTCAGTTATTAGCTATTTTATTTATTTAATTGGTATGCAAGGAATTCTGCTCCTTTTCATGCTCATAAAATATTTCCGATTGTAAGGGAATTTGTCCCCTGTTTAGAATGAATTTCAATACGGCTTCTGTTCATCTACTTTCTGAGTTTCCGGTTCCATCAACTGAAGATAAAGTAAGCATGTACACCAGTCTGACATACTGAAACCTTTTCTGGAGCTTGCCAATATTTATGTCATGCAATGTCTAGTTAATCTTGTTATCAGTGTCTACTTCTAGAAAATTTTCCTCATGTCAATCAATATCTTACATAGCCGAATATATAAAGGCACATATCAGGAATCAGTATTTAGGAATAGACAAATGAAAAACACAAAGATAATAATCACATAAATGATCTATGATAAGCTATCAGAAAATGAATCATAGATACTCTGAAAAGTGTTACGTACTTTTTTCTGCCTCCTCTACCGCCTTCATTCTTTCCAGATTTTGTGTTGCCGTCTGTACTTGAAGCAGGCACTCCAGTCATTGCAGCATTTTCTCTTTCTGTCATAAATAACAGATATATTAAGCTTTGTTAAAACATATGAGGGGATTCAGTTGTCACCAATTACAATATGACTCAACCTTTAAATAACATTTACAGATTGATTGGCACAAAAAGGAAGAAAGTGAAATACCACGCCGAAGTTCCTCATCAAACTTTTTCAGATATTGATCAAGTTGTTGTATGTGTGTATCTACCTACAACAAAATCATGAAACATAATTACAAAATCCAGAATCAAGCCATCAACTGTTTGCAAGTATATTCTGTGTCTAAAACAGAGCACTCCTCACTTGTATTTGTAATGTAATTCTATAAATAAAAATCGGAGCAAAATCATTGTGATTGTTTATAACAAGATACGATGATTACCAAATCATATGCTTGGACAGCCAAGGCAACTTTTTCGTCAGCAATCCTGATGCTATGCTTTTGTTCATCAAGTGCTTCATCAGATAATCTAATAACTGAAACATTAGGGGTTATGTTTCCAGACCTAACTCCTCGCCGAATATCTTCAATTTCTTGCTCACAACGCTGTTCATTTTGCCTTTGATTATCTGGTCATACACATTATGTAGCTTGGAACCTCAAACAAGATTCAATGTGTGACAAACTAGGGGGAAAAAGGAAAACCACAACTAAAAGCTTTTCATTTTTTTTTTTACTTTTCAATACATGAATAAGATAAAAACAATTGAGGAGTTCAGCATGCCTTGAATTCAATATATCAAAGTAAGCAACATACAGCTGAAGTCTGAAACTAATACCATTGATGCAATAAACTGTAGCAGTAAATTCAATCACAAACTTGCCATAATGTTCCGAAATTACCATTAGACATTACAAATCAAATCTAATAAATATACTTAACAACTGAAAAGTCCAAAATGTCATAAATCACATTATAAATGTAAACAATACCAGTTTATTAGGCGACATAAAGGACACACTTCTGAGTTTGTGTATACTAAGGATTTGTGTTGAGCTTTTTACATCAAAAGACTAATGTGGTTATCAAATCGAGATATAAATATAATCATGAATCGGAAGACATTTTTAAGTTTAAAAAAAAATGACATAACATATTTATAAGTTGGTATATCATATATGAACCTCAAAATAGTTTTAGATTCAAGTCATGTGTCAAATGCAAAAGAAAAGTGGTTGGTAATACGAAGTTGACAAGAAAAAGACGCTAGCTACACTAGGTTTAAGTAATGATTCATAAGAATAAATCAGGATTCATTATAGTGAATTGGGAATCAAGATGAGATTCATGTCTAAATGTCCAAATAGAAACATATTAGAGATTCGCATTGATTGGATTCAATTTAGTATCAAGTAAAGATACGAATCACATGTATCGTAAGATATTGATAATCGTGAAACAAATCTGGCATCTTGCTTACTTACACGCGAATAAATAGTGAAACATTCAAATTCGAGTTTAACAACAAGTCTTTGAATTCTGATGGCTTCTAAGAATCCAAGAGAAGCCTTGGTAGAAACACTTAAGACAGTACAATTCTATGGGAAGCCCAATAAGGTTACCACTTTTCACCATGACACACGAAATCACTAAATAGCTAAAACTAATTAAACCTATTATAGTGTTAACAACAACCGAGCTTTATCCCACTAAAGGGGGTCGGCTACACGGAACAACATCAGCCATTATGTTCTATCCAGGACCATGTTTCTATCCAAATCATTAATCTCAAGATCTTTTTTAATAACTTTTCTTATAGTTTTTATAGGTCAGCTTCTGCCTCTAGCTATTTTTCTTCTCTACATCTGATATACTCTTCTTACCACAAAATCTACAAGTCTAATTAAACCTATTATTATGATGGATTTAATTCATATGCACTTACCGTATATTTTACACTAACAATCAATCATATCCATTGGACCATTACAAGTATTTAACTTTGCTCATAACTACCTTAAAAGTCATAAAATAATGAGCTGTGATTGATTGACAACACTCTAACAAAGCATCAAAATTATTCTCTTTTATTATGATATATATGATCAAGAACCAAAAAGAAATAAAAAAGATACAATCTCTTACATAATCATGGTTTCAATCATATAAGGAGCAATAAATACATAAATAAATAATTAAATAAATAAAAAATGAAATTGTAAAATTACAACAACGACCTTGTAAACTCTTATCTAGGTCACGCAACAAGGCATACTTCTTATGAAGAATATTGGGCAGTGAATCCAAATCTGCAGACAGAAAACGCGAAATTGTTAGTTAATATGAAACTTGAAAACCCAAATACACAATTAAACCCTAAAAAAAACCTAATTTCTGAAAAAAAAATTAAATAAAAATAAACAAAATTGGGTGATGTGAAATTGATTACTGGCTTGAAATTCTTCAAGAAATGACATTAGGGTTTCTGGGGAAGACCGATAGCTTTCGTTCGAAGTCGGTGATAAAAAAGAAAATAGGACCAAAAAAAAAGGAAAATATTAGTATGGAGCAACGGTACAGGTGGACCATCATAATCTATTATTATAAATTGCATTTTGACCCTTGAACATTTGAATATTTATTTTACGTCAAGTTTATTTCTGGAAGTGGAAAATTGACGGTGCTCATTTTACTTTCAAAGAGCGGTTATATACTTGTAATTCGTGAAGAGGTGCGCGAGGTGAGTCTGTTCCAGCGGTGGTGCTTCTGTCGCCGCCAAGTAGTACGTACGGCGTCATCTTCATGGAGGAGAAGTGGAGAAGGTAGCTTGCGGTGAAGGAATTCAAGGGGTTTAGCATTTGTAAGCGGTAAGTTTAGATGGTGTTATTCACGGTTGATCTTTTTTTTTTTTTTTTTTGAGGACCGTGTGATGAGATATATCTTTCTTTTTCTTGAGGGGGAAGTGAGGAAAGTACATGACATAGGGATGTTTACCTCTAAACTAATCTAAATAAAAAATCGAAAATCAATTCAAAAATGAAAATCATAAATAATCGAAATTTATTATATATGTTTAAATATTATTTTATGAAAATCGATCGATTATGATTAGATTTTGAATTATTTTTTTAAAAGCGATCCAAATCAAATCAAATTTGTATGTTTTTAAATTGATTTATTTTTAATTAGTATGATATGTTACGTGAATTTAAATTTAGTATTAGATGATAATAATTTTTTTAATAATATTTTTTAGTTTAGTATAATGTTTTTTTTATATTATTTCAATCATAATTGATCACTCTCATTTTATAATATTAACTTTTAATATATTATATATTATATATTATACCAAAACTATAATTCTTAGTAGTTTTATAATATTAATAAAAATATAATATGTAATTTAGATATTCAAAAATCGATCTAAATTAAACTGTATTAAGTTAGATTGGATTGGATTAATTTTTTTTAATATATCATCCAAAACTGAACTGAATCGCAAGTAAATTTATCTTTAGATCGGATGAATTTTTGCGTTAAAATTGATCCAAACTGAACCGTGAACGCCCCTGCATGTACATACATCTAATCTAACTAAATTTACAATTATGAAACAGTAACTATTTATTACTGATTCATCACCAATTTCTTTTTCATTTTTATTTTTAGAAATTATATTATTATTATTATTATTATTAAAACAAAAATAAGAAATCAATCAATCAGAAGCAGCCAGCATAGAAATTCAAATTCAAAAAGATTCAAAAAATTGGTGCCACCTCCTTCATCTTCTCAGATCACCTCCTCAACCGCATTGGTCGCTCGTGGCAGCGGTAGAGATCTTTCCAAAAATAAAATAAAAAATTTACATTTTTAGCTTCGTTTAAACCCGTTGAGCATGAAAATCACATCCTCTTCCTCCAATTTGTTCTCAAATCAAACGATCACATAAATACGCAGTACATCCTAACGCAATCAATTAAAAATTAAATCACGTAGAAGCAAGATCCATGATCAAAATGTTAGGGTTAAGTTTCAACAAACAACAATGAACACAAATGCATCAAGAATTATGCAAAACGATGATGAAATGAGAGAGATCGAAGTCACAAAAACTATACCAATTAGAGACCGTCCGATGTGTCTTCTATGGCGAAGATGAGATGAGAAAATAATGAAATAAGCATCTACGATGCTCTAGAAGAAGAAATATGTGCTAAAATTGCTTTAAATCATGTTGTAGATCTCAGACCAAGTTCATCTTCTTTGTTGAAAAACTTAGGTTGGATTGAGATATTAGGAGACTACGAAGCTTGATCTTTACATACAGAAGCCTTAGAATGTGATGTAGATAGAGGAATGATGAAGAAATTTCAGAGAGATTGCAGAAAAATTGGAATTCGAAAATTGAGAGAGAAGAGAGAATTTTGAGAGGATTTGTGAAATGTGATGGTGAAATTAGACTTTAGAGGGAAACGAGTACTTATAGGCTTGAGTTTTAGATGGAGTTGGCTATGGAATGAGGCTTGGGAGTGCCAACTAGGATTGAAGACAGTTAGATAAAATATGTGAACTAAAATGGTAAGGCTTGGGAAAGCTTGTTGCAAGTTTTGTTTGTGGTTTGGAATGAGCTTGATTTGGCTTTGATTTTGGTTTGTAATAAGGTCTGGAATGAGCTGGCACGAAGGAGAAGCTTATGGAACAAGTTTCTTTTCCATTCATTTTGTTTTGGTTTTCAGATTTGGATTAAATTGGAACTGGTTTTGGTTTGTTGCAGCCCATGGGTTTGGTTGATTTCAAGTGTGTTTGTGAACTACTTTAGCCTCTTTTGTTGCAAGTAATTGGACCAGGTATTTGAAGTTTGGATTGAAGTAAGTTTGGACATTATTTGTATCCCTCTTGAATTAATTTGGAACTGTTTTAATATTGGATAAATTTGCACATATTTTGAACCAAGGTTTTGGCATGTTGAAGTAAGCAGTTGAATCAAGTTCTTTTGAATCAATTAGGGACCTATTTTGGTTGTAATTTGGACATGTAAATGAGTAAGATATGGTGACTTTGAATGGATATTGGAATTGAACTTTTTATGATACATTTGGATACTTTGAATGGTGAATGATATGTAAATGACTTAGGCTTGAATTTTGTGATGTCATTGAATACCTTGAACTTGAATGAATGGTGATGAATAATATTTGCCTTGAATCTTGATTTTGATTGTTGTATTTCAAAATTTTCCCTCTCACTTTGTAGCAACTGGTTTTTTAATCAAGAGTCGTCACTATTAGTTTTTATCCTAGGGAAGGGAATCTAACAGAAAACCCTAATTCGCGGACAGAGATTCTAGGTTTCAGACTCAGTTAGACGAAAGAAAGGTGTTAGACACCTTTCATCTACCTTGTTCACAAGGATATTAGATCTTAGGTTTAGGTTTGAGATAAACAGGATTTTAAGTTTTAATTAGCAAGAGTTTTAATTTTTAATAGGGGAAAAAGGGGTTTAATTTTTTATAGAAGAACTCGCTACGATTTTTGATCGCATGCCTACGTATCCTCTTAAGAGGAATCAGAGTCCCAATTCGTAGTTCGTATGGGTTGATGTTTTTTTAGGGGTTTGCAAACATATTTTGAATCACTTTGCACTCGGTCGGGAGTAGTGATTGCAGAGATTTTGACTGAGTGCATAGTAAGTCAAAACTAGTTTGAAACTCATTTGCAAAAATAGTTGGTTAGCTTAGTTTATTGCGAAAATAGTTTTGATATTTGTTTGTGTTTTTTAATCGTATTATTTGCGAAGATCTTGATTAATGCATGACTAGAAAAGATTTAATACAAATAATATATATACAATAATATATGTAATTTTAATATAAAAATAATTTATTTAGTAATATAATAATATTTTCATAAAAGGGGATTATAAATAATAAGTTATAATTATAATTAAAAAAATTAATTAACTACAATAATTTATAATAATAATAATAATAGAAAAATTCATTATTTGATAATAAGAATAATTATTATAACAAATAATATATATATATATATATATATATATATATATATATATATATATATATATATATATATATATATATATATATATATATATATATATATATATATATATATATATAAATAGAAAAATAATTGAATTATAAAAGAAATAAATAAAATTTAATTAACTCACGGGGTGCAGTTTATGTTAATAAGTAAAACAAAGGGGGTGCTAAAAGTAGGCCCAATACAGTTAATATAGCAGCGCAAAGCCCAATTAGGGGGAAAACAGGAATTGTGCAGTTTATGTTAATAGGGAAAACAGGGGGTGCGTTTTCGTTTTGAAATTAGCAAATAATTAAAAAGGGGTGTGTGTATCAGTGGGCTTAGGCTCGTTACTGTTTGAAGGGGGGTCCAGGATGATCGTGTGAGTGAGGGTGCACAAAGTTATCATGCGGCTTGGCCTTATGACCGCCTGATAAAAATCTGATGGCTGACAGCGAGGGAGCATGATCGTTATCCTGGGCGCGGTGCATACGATATAAACGTACAAAAAAAATTTGTTTTAACATTTTGTTCATTTCATTTTTCATTTTTCAGCCATTGTCTTCCTCTCTCTTTCAACCACATCTTCTTCTAACCCTAAAACAACACCCGCGGTGGGGCAGCCTCTCCGATCGCGACCTCGAAACCAAATTCCCTTAATTGAGACAACAAACAAATGGAAGTCGTGTAGCTAAGTGCAATTTACCCTTAATCGTTGTCGTCTGATTCGTCTATTCTCTGTGTAGTGACCTTTGTCTCTCGTTTTTTGCAGGTTTCAGTGAAATAGAAGGTGGTGATGGTGACGCAGGTTTGGAGAAAGCGGTGGTGGCGACTGGTCAACGGCTAGCGACTAGGGTTTCAGACATTGAAACCTTAATCGCTCCTCCCTTCTTCTTTCGTCGCGGCAAGGTCTCGGTTCTTGTTCTTCTGTATTCTTCTCCTCCTTGTTCTTGTAAAAATCCCTTATGTCTTTGTATTCCCGACCTCCTTCGTTTCTGTAAAATACCCCTATTTCTGTTTCTGTTGCCCGCCCATTTCTCTGTACCTTTATTTCTGTATTTATACAGTTAGTTTTTTTTAGAGTTTTAGTGTTACAACATAGATTTAGGGATTATGATAAATTAGGGATTCGATTTAATATTATAATTGATTTGGTTATTGGATTTGTGTTGTAGATTTGTAACACATGATTGACTGTATTAGATTTGAATTGATTTGTAATTGATTCAGTATCTTAGATTTGATTCTGTAAACTGTAACGAGATGTTGTAAGATTTGATTTTGGAAATTTGTAATGAGATTGCTTGCTTTTTCTGGATTTGATTGATGAAAATTTGGTTTATATTTATTTTAATTAATCTGAGCAGTAGGTGTTTGTTTGCAAAAGCACGCGTGAAGCTAGCTCCAATATGCACAGTTCTTGTTTT